AAGGGACAGGAGAGGGTAGAAAAATGTGCATCCAAAGAATCTGGAAAGTTTCAAGCCCAACTGCCAATGAAAATGTGAGGAAACAATGGCTGTTGGTGAAGAGATTAAATTGTGATCTGTTTGAAAAGAACACATGAGAGAAGAGAAGATGTCTCATGGAGACTAGAGAAAGGGTAAGAATTTTTCACCATGTCTTCGGCCCCTTTTAAGGGAAAGAACACTCTAATTAGCTGGTTTAGGTATCTTTCCACTTGACTGATACAATTCTAGCAGTGAAGATGGGAGCTGTTTTGATTGCAAAGCAGTGAGTCAAGAAAAGTCCCTAAGCTTTGAAATTAGACAAATCGAACTCCATTTCCATATAGTAAACAAGCAACCGCCAAGGATGCAGGGAAAAAGAAGTCAAAATTTTATTTAATCCAGGCAATAAACTGGTGGTTAGGAAACTATAAACCATCCATCTATCCCACTCAGCTCAGGAATCTACAATGAGTCTCTGATATTGAAGACTGTGATTGAGTCTAAATTCTTGAGGATAATTAAAGTCTCCCATAACCTGGTCTCAATCTGCTCCTCCTTAACATCAGCCTTCCCCAATATTCACCCCTGCACTCTACTTTCCCCCAGACAACAACATCTTATATGCACAATACTCATTTCTAATTATGCATACCTGTGTACTGTGGTGGAAGTTAATAAGAAGGTTTCAACAAAACATACGGAAAATCACTAACATCAAATTAAGGAAGGCAGTCCTTATAGGGGTTAACAACATGGATTTGAATCCTAGTTTCGTCATTTCCTAGCAACTTAAACTTCGACGACTTATTATCTCTAAACACATTTTCTCATCTGTAAAATGGGAATAATGATAATAATACTACCTGCCAAGAAAATCATGACTTCAAATAACATTTAAAGGCAGAAAAATGTTCACAGTACAAGGTAGAGTGGAGAAACATGACATAAAATTGTCCTTATTATATGACTCTATTTATGTATGAGATACACACTTGTAAATATATGTATATACACACAGAGAAAAAACTGAAAAGATACATATCAAAATATTAGTAATAGTTATCACTACACATTATGGTCTTAAATAGGCATTTTTCTTTATATTTTTGTTTCCAAATTTTCCAGAATAAATGTATATTACTTCTATAATCAGAAAACAAAAGGGATGGTTTCCTTTTAAGAATGCTAGGACAGATCTCCCTCTTTTATAATGGAAGTGTGGAATGCACTTGGTTGAGCTATATATTTCTTATTTAGAATATTTGTTAAATATTGACTGAAGAACAAATATCCCAAAACAGAATGACCTGCAAAGAAAGATAAAGAGTTTTCTTACTAAAGATGTTTACATAGAAGCCGGGTAACAATTTACTACATAGGGTTTACCAAAGGAAGGATGCATGGCTAGAGTAGAGAATTCACTATAATCGCCGTTGTCTAGCATTGTGTCTGGCATATAGTAAGTGCTCAATGAATATCTGCTGAATGAATGAATGAATAAATACATGATTTCTACAGGCCCTTCCAAACTTGAGATCTTCTGATTCATAAAGCCTCCCCTTACCATTCAGTTCTCTTTGCTTTCTCCTGCTGAATGAATGAATGAATAAATACATGATTTCTACAGGCCCTTTCAAACTTGAGATCTTCTGATTCATAAAGCCTCCCCTTACCATTCAGTTCTCTTTGCTTTCTCCCTTCCCTGTTCTGGACTAGCAATTATGAAACACTAATATTATGAACCAATACTTTAAAGGCTCCTAATTATATACTATTTGTTTTTTATTGATCCCTAATTATTTTAGGAGTTTAAATTCTGCCTCCTCAACAAGTGTGCTAGTTCCTGGAAATTAGTTCCACTCAAATAACGCTCATTACGTACTATGTATTCATTACTAGAACCTGCCCTACAAAACCTTATGTTCTAAGAACAGAGAACAGAAACATTAAAAGACAGAGCGCGCACTGTTCTAGTAGAGGTCTGCATAAAATGCTATCATGGTGGGGTTTGGGGGGGAACAATTAACTCTGTAAGAAAGGCGGTCCAGGAAAGCTACAGGTAGGAGGTAATATTCCAGCTGAGTCTTGATAGATCACAGGAATTTGTCAGGCTCTTAGGGGATAGTATTAATAGATTCGAAGAAGGTTGATGCCATAGCAAAGAGTCAGAGGTATAAGACTGAGTCTTTCTCATTTTCTGATCTAATATCTCTCCCCGACGCGTGATAAAAAAAAAAACAAAAAACAAAAAAAAACTACAGTTCTCTGGTATACAGTAAATATAGAAATAGGAGCCCGAGGGAGCAAGGGTAGGGAGCCAGAAAGGAGCTGATCCAACAGGCTGACAGAAAGCGTCGTCTATCTCGCAGCCTGAACCGGATGACCTAGTTCGGGAAGTGTGGGACTGAACCAGGTCAGAGACATCAGTTCGAGCCTTACCTGCTGCCCCTCCCCCACGCGAAGCCCACGCCGCGGCCAACTTGAAATTTGCTTGTCTTCCTCAAACCGGTGGCGTTGTAGACCCGCCTCCCAGAGCTTCCCATTGGTGGGTTCTCCGGGCCAATCTAGGAGAAGCCGAGGAGGGAGGTCCGCCCACTTGAAGCCGGGGAGGACAAGGAGGGAGGAAGGGAACCAGCCCGAACTGAGGCTTGGGAAGCGGGGTGCAGAGAGAGATGGGGTTGCAGAATCACCTCATTTCCGACCTCACCCCAGATGGAGGAGCTCCTGGTTAGAGAGAGTTCACAGAAAGAACCTGACATTCAGATCTCATCGACGGACTCTGTTGAGGGAGCCCCAAAGAATAGCTCCCCTATAGAGAAATGAATCCCTATGAAAACTGCTCTTTAGGGATCAGTCTCTTTGTGACTCTGGCTTCACAGTTTGGCCTCGACTCCATTATTCCAACCTTCTCTTGAAATCCTACACTGCCTTCCTCCAGCACTACCAGTGGATACTTCTTTTCTAAAAATGTTTTTCTGTGGGTTGTTGTCATGTCTATGAGAAGGTGGGAAGAGGGATTGGGGAAGGAAGAACTGGGGATCAGAGAACTAGGGTTGGGAAGACAGGGCAGGAGCCCAGTGTTTTCTGCACTTGCCATTGCCTCCCAGCTCCTCCAAGCCCGTTGGTAAAGGGGTGCAGAGTGGAAGGAGTCGTCCTACTTTCACAGAAAGCAGGAATAGTGGGAAAGAGTTCAGAATAGAGGTGAAATCTAGGAGTGAGTCAAGAAGAATATCCCAGATGTCAGAAAAAATGGCCTCTAGATTGGGAGACTGTAGGTGTAGTGGCAAGTGCTCAGTCTTTGGAGTAGGACAGAAACACAGCTATGAAGCTTTGGAGAACTCATTTAATCTTACTAAGTCTCAGTTTCCTCATCTGTAACAAGAAGAAAATAGTTCCTATTTTATAGAGTTGTGAGGATTGGAGGATGTATGTAAAGCACTTGTCACATAGTTGGCATCCAAGAAATGGTAACTAGTAAAAATGGGCAGCAGCTTCCCTGCAAATATTTCTCTCTCCCCCTTCCTTAGGAATATTATTTTTAGTATTTTATGTCTAGGGGCCTCCAGCTTCTGAACTATCTCAGGACTGTAGGTGAGCTTTCCAAATCCTTTGAAGTTTTCTTCATCCCCCACTTGCCTTGGTGCCTTCCAGTTGGACACACACTCATTCCTAAAATATGTAGATGGAAGCTATGGTAACCGTGGAGACAGGGCAGGTGGGGAGGAGAGGCAGAGACTTGAGAGAGACCAATAGCAACAGATAGGAAGAGACAAGAAGACGTAAGGAGCAATTCGGATAGAGACCTTCAAGCAAGATGGAAAAATAAAATAATAAGTCTAAGCAAGACAGAATAAAGACATGCAATGACAATGGGTGTGTTACAAGGTCCGCTCTTCTCCTTGCCTCTTTCCTATCTCCCTCCCCCAAGAATAGAGGAAGGAGGCGTCTGGGAATGCCCATTGCCCAGTCTAAACATGTCCCCGGAGGCTGGCCGGTTAGCTTACTTGGTTAGATCGCAGCCTTATAACACCAAATCACGGTTCCGTTCCCCGTACCCGCCAGCCACGCCTCTTTCCCCCAAATGCCCCCGGATATCCACTTTTCTCATACTTATCTGGGAGGTCTATGTAAGGGAGCTGAGTTCCAAGTTTCTCTGTGGTGTATGTTTTATTTTGGGAGAGGTGGGGTGGAGATGTATACTTTGTCTGACTCCAGACTGGACCGTGCTCTCTCTGACAAACTACAAGAAGGCAACCAGACCTCCTGCCTCTCTATGAACAGTATGGACGCCGCTGTGGATCCCAGTCGCCTCTCTATACCCCTCTGCACAGTGTGCCATGTGCCGTGTGTGGCAGGTCAGGTCTGGAGCGCAAGAGCGCATATACACACCAAGTGCGGAGACTGGAGATCTGCTGAAGCTCACCAGAGAATCCAGATGATCCCTGTCTGGGTCGAGTAGGAGTCCCCTAAGGAACACTTATACGTGTCGGGGCTCAGGGGAGGTCGGCTAAGATAGCAAAGTCAGGATTGGAGCCTCTAGGTTTTTCAGGGTTTGTGTGTGCATGGGTGGTGGGGAGCGGTTTGGTGCTCGACGCCCCCACCCGCAGAGACTCGACTATAAATAGCACAGCAGAGCTCCGCCCCCCCCCCCCCCCCCCCCCCCCCCCCCCCCCCCCCCCCCCCCCCCCCCCCCCCCCCCCCCCCCCCCCCCCCCCCCCCCCCCCCCACCCCCCCC